ATGGTGGTCTGGTGCTCATACGAGACTTTGATAGTATAGCTTCAGTTATGAGGTACTTTTCAACATGATAGAAAGCGGTCCTGGGAAATGTAAATTTCGTCATGATTTGCTTTATCTCGATCAGATTGGGATGAAATTTGGTGGGCACTCTTAAAACATCGAATACCACACTTGCATGCTTTTTGAGTTCAATCTGGTAGTTTTTCAAATCCTTCTAAAATTAGGCTTATTATGATCGGGGTTTCTGTAGACCACATGCATGAGCTAAGAACTTTTGATGACTAATTTAATTTCATTTATGTATTCTGCTTTGAGTGCTTCCTTTTTTCGTTTTTAAGGGGGATTGGGATAGAGGTTTGTATGCGAAAGGGACTAGAGCAGAATTGGCTTGTTTAGGTACCGGTGTAGTGTGATGTTGTTTTTCATTAGGGATGTAGGGAGAGTGATTAGGGGCTGGGAAGACGATAGAAGTTAAGAGCAGAGGGGGAGGGAGAAGAAGGTGGTTTGGACACGTTGCAGCATGTTGGATGTTGGGATTAGTGGAGGAGCTGTCAAGATCTCCAGAGGATGGATGGGGATTAGTGGGAAGAGACATTGAGGAAGGGTGGGGAGGTAGGAGATGAGATGTTGGGGCTGACACCTGGGGGTTATTAGAAATTGGGGTTGGCAAGGGTGGCGGATGGAGAGGGGTGATGATGGCTGTAGAGGGGGGAGAGCAAGGGCCATTAATTAGTGAGGGATGGGGGTCAGTCGAGGACACGGGCTTCGAGGGTACCTTAAAAGGAGTGAGAGCCACCATGTGAGGTGGGGGGGCATGCAAGCCAGAAGGTACAACGGACGACACCACAGTAACCTGGGTACTTAATGTTGGGGGTGGTGGGGGGTAACAAATGTCAAAGTATTCATGGGAATACTTTTGACTAGGCAGCAGATGGGAGGAATATGACCGGACGTTGGTGGTCTGACGGCCTAGGGAATGATCAGTGAGAGGTTCCTTACCTCGGTCTGGTTGAGGGCGGGAATCTCGGGACAATGGGTGGGAGGAACTTACACTGCCGGGTAAACAGTGATTATGGTCCTTGGTGGGAGCGGTTGTGGTAGGTCTAGATACTAGATTTTTGTTTTGGTGCAAATTGCTATTGTGGTCCCTAGTGGACTTGGGAGCAGCAGATGGGGGCCCCTGAGTACGGGAGTGTCCACTAGGTTTTCGTTGGACCACAATCCAACCTTCGTGGTCTGGCTGGGGGCGTTCATGGCGATCCAGGCCCTGGACTGTTACAGTAATTTTGTAAGAAAGGCCATCAAAGTGCAGTGAGAGAGAACTGGGGATAAGGTTTGCTGATTCAGTTGATGTTAAGATGACAATTTTTCCCAGAGCAAGAAATCCCATGGACTTCCAATGGACAGATAGGAATTGTCCACAACTGTTTGCTCGGATTTGAAAGACCTTGGTAGACCAAAAGATGGAGGGGAATTCCTTCTAATGTAACCCAAAATTTATTGATTGTTGGGCTCCCAAAGAAGGATTCCATTTCTGTAGGGATAATATCCGACCTTTAAAGCTTAAGGTGGGATTGGGAGGAATAACCAGTTTAAATTTGTCTGGAAATGAGATGAGGTACTTACCATTTGAAAGAAGCCTGCAAATGACATGAGGGTTGCTGAAGACAGACTGTAACGACAAATTAATCCCTTTGATGTCATTGCGCTGAGGTTGGAAAGTGCCTATAAGGGAGTTTTCTAGACAAGAGAGTCACTCAACAGCGTCACTATTAGGGGAGAGTCAGGTGTGGGGTTCAAGGTTATGGACTGAGATATGATACTCGGTGGTTTGCGATGTTTGTGATTGCCTAGGTTGGAGGGGGGTTTGCTGGGGTGGAAGCTACTGTCTGGGCAAAGGTTTTGGGATATACAGTAGCAAGATGCTCTTTACCAGGGAAGAGTGCGGTCCGGTTTTGAGTAGGGTGGGTAGCTTCTGCTAGAATGGGGGGATTGGGCTAACGGTGAGGTGGTGGGGGACGATGTGGTCTTGCTTGATGAACTGAGAGGTTGTTGGGATGAGAGTACTGGGTTTGGGGGTGATTAACATTCCTGGTAATGGGGTATTTACGGGGTAAAGGTCTTCTTAAGGGGGATGGTGTTTGATGGAAGATGGATGTTGAAGATGCTGATGGTGACTGCTATTGGGGTTCTGTGGATGGCTGTGGTTCGCAGGTTCTCTGTGATGGTGGTTAATGGTAGGATTCTGTGCGCTCAACTCATTGAAGTTTCGGTAGGTGGGCTTTGAATATCTGATGTCTTTGGGGTAATTGGAGGAGTAATAGCTGTAGTCTCACTGGTGAAGACGTCGTCTGTGCAAAGAGGGGCTGCGTCTAGAATGAAGATACATGTGTGGACTGTAACCACCTCGAGGAGAAGGATTGTGTCTAGAACGAGCCTTCATGCGAGGACTATATCCTCGATGGGGAGGAGGAGAATTGTAGCTGCGGTGAGGAGGGCTGTATCTTCCCCTCCCCCTCCCTAAGCGACCGATCCTCATTCTCAAGCATTCAGGAAATTTTTACTTTCAGGGTTGGGTATTTTCCAGAAGTGCTTCCTGTTTTTTGTCGTCAAATATTCTTGTAAGCTTTCTCTGTTGCTTTTTTATCTCCCCATCGATAAGAAAAGTAGATATCCTTGCTGCCTCAAGGATAACTTCTCTCCTATGATCTTGCTCTTTATAAAAAATAGGATCTTCATCAAAGATGATATCACTTTCATCTTGCTCTTCATCAAATATAGGATCTTCATCAAAGATGAGATCGCTTTGGAATGATAAGTCCAATTCATGATCCAAACCAACTGGTTCTTCATCAAACTTCACTAGATCACATTCCCGACCATGAGGAACTAGATCACTCTTCTGATCATGAGGCTTCCGATGAAAAGCATTAGTATGGATCGGGTTCTCGAAAATAGCATCTGACTCACTACCGCCATCATAGTGTGTCGTAACTAGTTTTTGTGCCAAGCGCAGGGTCAGCTCTTCTACTTGCCTTCTCAAAATTTTGTTTTCTATCTCTCGGAGAGTTTGGAGGTTTCGTTTGTGTTGAATGAGTTGAGTCCTGATACTTGGCCATTGACCTTGTCCACGAGCTATGAGGCCATTCGATAAACACCACGATCCACAAGGATCGGCTACGCTCTGATACCACCTGACGCAGTATAAAATTTACCAGCTTTCAAATTCGAGATTTCTCAAATGGTTTTTCTAGATTTCAGTGAGGGATGCATGCTTTGTGAAGAATGTTATGATGAGGGGGATTAATATATCTGATTGGTGTTATTCTTAAGTTTTTCTTTTTTTTCTCTCTCTTTGATAATTTACCAGATATTCTAAAAGAGCAATATACATCTAGCTGTTTTCCATGCGAGAGCACCAGGGATTGTTTTTTTTTTTTTGGAGAGTGGGTGGGGGGGTGGGGCAGGGGGCATGGTGGGGTTGGGTGTTCAAGTCACGAAATTCTCTGCGACACTTCACTCCTTGTAAGCCCATTCATCATCTCCTTATCTCTCTTTAAGTGGTGCGGAAGGAGCTGCATTGATATTTTTGTAGATTTCCATGTCGCAAATGGAAAAAGAGTTAATATTGGAAAAATTTATCTTTGCTGGCTCGACTTTAACACTAAAGCTTCACAAATGTGCCATCTTCCATTAAGTGAATCATTTATGCGAGTAGGGGTTGGGTACTTATGCGTTCCTTTGTTGAGTGGTGGCTGGTGAGGTTGGCACCTGCATTGATAAGTTGATGGTCTGACAGAAGTTTTTGCATAAGAAATAGGGGGTTGAAGATTGTCATGATCTCAAAAAAAAAGAAAAAAAAAGGAAAAAAAGAAAAGAAAAGAAAAGAATTGTCACGGAGGTTTTGTTGAAAAAGAAAAAAAAGAAAAAGAAAAAAAAGAAAAAGAAAAAAAAAAGATTGTCATAATGGAACGATTGATGTATGTGCACAGTTTTGAGAATCTAAACTAACCAATGCATCATCACTGCATAAATACACAAAATCATGTGTTTGTGCATTCATACATGCACATCTATGTTACATTGACATGGCATCGTGTCTCCGCGTCCAACATGGACACCTACATCTCAGGCAGGTTTGACACAAGCTTCCACATAAGAAATAGGACTTTGAAGCAAACCTCCACAGCTATGGTCATGGAGGCACCATTGATGCTATTCCTGAACACATGTATGTACCTAGTTTGGAATCCAAACTTAGCAATGCATACATAAAACTATGCATTCACGCATAAATACATATATTACTATGCTATGATGACAAACACATCTGTCCACGTCCAACACGGGCACCAAAGTCAGACATGCCAGCCACAGAACTGGGCTTTATAATATGACATGTCTATATGACATTGAGAAGGGGTTTGTTTTTTTTGGGGGGAATTGGATTTTAAGGAACTCCAAGTACTTTATTACTAATATTCTTTAAAAAGTTGAGCGGACCTAGGTAAGCGTTGGAACACGTTGTGTCATTGGCATGCAGATACATGCCAACCTTGGACTGTATATACATGCAGTGTATCACGCATGCATGTAACGGATGTAAATGGGTCTGCATAGCATACTACATGTATTAGTCCCCATCTTCCTTTCTCTGTATTGGATGGTGGATATGAACCTTTTTCTCTGCTTGAATGGAGAATGGTGGAAGGATGTTTTCCCTCACACTGCATGTCTAATATGGGCATGGTAAGTCTGGGCGCTCATGTTTTGTATGGTTTGAATTGTCCTTGCATACTTTGCTTTCCTCCTGTAATTGTTCTGATTCAATATTTTCCTTTTTCATCTATGGAGTTCATCTGCAGCTTTGGTATTCTAAGTGATAGTGCATATTTTATCACTTCGTATATCCTGGTTTTGATAATTCTGATTTGTATTTGCAATGTCTCTCTAATGGCATCCATAATATCTTATTTCTGCACTATATTATGGCAGTACAGAATCTTCCCTTCATAGCAAACATGGAGAAGCGGATTCAAAGTGCTGCTTCATTATTGGATAGTAGTTTGGGTCATTGCTTTGTTGCTGGGCTGGAACACCGAGATACAAGTGCAATCTATAACTGTTTACGTGCATATGCTGCTATTGAGAATACCGCCAGTGCAGAAGAGATTTTTCGTTCAACTATAGTGGCTCCGTTGATTGAGAAAGTTATCCCTCATAACCCTTCACGGGAAGTTGCTGAGAGTTCCGCTGATGAGCTTGGAGATGATTATCAACAAATTAAAAGGCTTATTGAGAAGGACTGCAAATTTCTATTGGAAATTGCTGCATCCGGTGCATATCTTGTTTCTTTTCTTATTTTCATCTTGTTGTGGTTTATTATACATTGAATGGCCTATTGGTTTTGTTTATTAATTTTTATGTGGAATGCTTACCAAGAATATTGTTTTTATTCTCTTTACTGGAACTTTTTCATATGATTTTCAGCCAATTCTGGACTGCACGTGTTTGATTTTTTGGCCAATTCGATACTTAAAGAAGTGCAATCGGCTATCCAGAAAGGCAAACCAGAGGCATTATCTGCTGGGAAACCAACAGAATTCTTGAGAAATTACAAAGCAAGCTTGGATTTCTTGGCCCATCTTGAAGGTAAGACTAGTCCATACTTGAGAGTATTAATTTCGGGATACAAGTAGTAAAATAATTTGCTTTTTTAATGTTTAGCATTGGATTTGATATTATTTGCTTATAACTTCACATTGTCATGTAAGGCTACTGCCCGTCCAGATCTGCTGTGTCTGAATTTCGATCTCGAGCTGTCTACATTGAGTTCATTAGGCAATGGAACATTGGTGTCTACTTCTCTCTGAGGTATTTTCTCCATATTCTTGCTAACAAGTATACAGTTTGCATACATCAGGTCCTATATATTGGTCACAGTAGTGAGCTACACATTTGATTTCATGTTTCCTTAGATTTCAAGAAATTGCCAGTGCTTTGGACTTGGCATTGATGGTCACCACTATTACAGTAGTTGGCAATTCACATCTTAACAAAGGCAATTCTCGGGAATTGACCTTAAATCAAAGTGTGCAGCTTTTGGAGTGCTTGAGATCCTGTTGGAAAGAGGATGTTTTTGTCCATTCTCTCTCTGACAAGTTCCTTCGGTTATCTCTGGAGCTTCTTTCAAGGTTGGTTCTTCTTTGCATGCCTGATTCAGTCTTTATCTTATTCGTTTGCTCTTTTGGTTTTAAACACTCATGTTTGTGCTTTCTCCTCAAAGAAGCATTCATGTTTGTGCATACAATGCAGGTATGCAACCTGGTTATCAGTGGGGCTCGCTGCCCGTAAGGGTAATGCAGCTACTCAGTCAGGTAGTGCAAGTACTCATGCTGGTAATACAAGTTCACATCCTGGGGGCGAGTGGGCATTGGCTGCAAGTCCAGAAGATTTCATTTATGTAAACTCCAACTCATATAATCTGTATTTATTCATTGCATTCTCACTCATGTTTCTCTGTCTTCTTGTTCTTTTGAAAATTTCAAAAGGTTTTTTAATTTAATCTTTGCTTAGTATGCCTGGCATAAAAATTATGAGTCTGAAAATTAAGCCTGTGTCCGGGTCATTTAATTTGTTGGGGCATTTCTTATGTTGAATATTATCCTAGAACTATGGTTAAATGAGTATAACAAAGAAATCTTTACTGCTAATGTGTAATCATTAAAACGAGTAGTTCTGACTTTTTATTTTATTTTATTGGGAATACTGTGGAAATATCTATTGTCAACCAGTAACCATCCTAATTCCAATTTTCTGCTGATTGGTAACTCACTTTGGTCCCTTGTCATGTCGCCGTTTATTCAATTGTTTGTATGCCATGCTTGTTCAATAATCAGAAGTTGGAGAAGAAAATGTGATACAGTGGAACTTGAAATAGTAATCTTCTTGTTCACTAATGTCATTTAATTATTTTAGCTCCGTTTAATAACGAATAAATCGGTTTACTCCCCTGCCCATTTAGGAGTTTAGAAGGAAATAGCTTGTTCCTCTCCCCTATTCTAGAGTATGAGCCTTAGAAGTTACACCTGCTTATCCTTAAGTGCATTTTCTGCAATGATAGCTTATATTAGGGTTAAGAACAGTTTGTGACGTATTATCTTATGTCTAAGTTAATGTTAATCTCTCTTATTTCTTATATTTCTGGATCGCTTATGAGATATTGTCGGCAGTTCTGTTGGCTTTCTCTCATGGTGGCTTATGGTAATTTTTACCTTTGTAAATATGGTCTATGAGGTGATCTATATCCTCTTTGCATGTGCTACATTTTTAGCAACTATTTATGTGGCTTCGATAATTTTCAGGTGATGCACGATGTAGATATTCTGGTTACTGTGGTAAATGGTGATTATATGGAGAATGTGCTTCAACTTCTGTCTAGTTGTTCAGCTGATGTACTTTCTCAAGTAAGGCAAAGCATTTCATCGGCTGGGAAGAGATTGGTGGACTTGGTACCTAGTATAATGGATACGATGATTGAAGGACTTGTGGAGAAATCTGTTGAGGTCAGTGTCAACAGTTATGTTTTCATTATACAACTATTGATCCTCATCAAATTATCCGTTTCAACGATTTGTCGAGCAAGGTAATTTGATAAGTATGGTTCAAATAGGTGAAGAGAATTCTGTTTTTGAGAAACTTTTGCATCACTTGATCTTAGTTTTGATGAGACCACAGAGATTTACTACTAATGCATCGTGTTTTCCTTTTTTTACAAATGGATTCAATTCTTTGGATCTTCATATACACTAATCACCTTGTGCAGCGATGAGACATAAATGGCTTCTATTGCACTATCTTGGAAGCTCAAGTCCTTAGAAGTCAGATGGACTGTGCAGAAGAAAAAAAAGGCTTTCATTAAGTTATGAAAATTGAACTCTGGAATGAACCAATAGGGTGGCAGGTCTGGTGAAAGCAACCTATTTTCCAGATCATAACGGGCTTGGTCAGCTTTTGAGAGTATGGCAGTATTTTAAATGGAAAATTATCCTGTAGTATCTGTCTATAACTTGTTTGCATATAAAGAGGTTCTCAATCATCTGATGTTAAAAAATGGTTGGGAAATGGTTATTCTTCTCTCAATGTCCGTCCAATGTGGAGAGAACCTTCAGTGTGGGAGCAATTGTCAACTGTTCATTCTTAGCTTTGCATAATTGAGGGAGCTATTTATAGCCTGTTTGATGTAAGAAAAAAGTTTTCTAAGGCATCAACCTTGTACTATAGAAGTAAGACACACCTCAAAATCCATTAGAAAAGGTTATTCAGATGCTTGAAAACCCTACAACAAATGATCTCGACTTTGAGATGCATGGATATGAAAAAGAATTATTTGAAGTCCTAAAAATAATTCGTCTTATAACATATTATCTAGAACATCCATTTTCAAGATTTTCAAGTGTTTATAGAATTGTTCGATCTTTACTATTTTATGAGCTTTAAATTTCACAACTAAGAGTGGTGATGAATTTCATAATTTTCATAAATTCCATAATTTAATAATACTACTATACCTATTTATAATAATAAAGGAGATGCACAGAATTCTACAAACTATTGAGGGATCAAACTAATGAGCAACACTATAAAGTTTTGGGAGACAGTAATTGAGCAACACCCACAACATGAAATGAGTTTATAAAAAATTAGTTTCGGTTCTATACCAGGGAGGTCAACCATTAAGGCCATTTCCCTACTTGAGCAATTGATTGAGGAAGTTTAGGGAAATGAGAAGACCCCCACATGGTCTTTATTGATTTAGAGAAAGCATGCAATTGGGTACCTAAAGAGTTAATTTGGTGGGTGTTGGTAAATAAAGGAGTCTCTAGAGGATTTATTGACATGGTGAGGGATGTGTACGATGGAGCTCAAACCAGTGTAAGGACAGCTACTAAAGAGACAAGTGAGTTTTCAGTGACAACAAACCTACATCAGGGGTCAACATTGAGCCTATATCTATTTAGTTATTAATGAGTCAACTACACATCTACAGGATGAGGTACTGTGGTGTACATTGTTTGTGGTTGACATAGCTTTGATTGACGGCAACGTAAAGTTAGAATTTTTGAGGGATGCTTTAGAATTTAAAGGTTTTAAAATTAGCCAAACTAAGATAGAATATATAAAATGCAAGTTTAGTAATAGTAGCAATAGAAACATGGAATTAACTATGATCGATGGTCAAGAAGTACTTGAAAGAGATTATTTTCGATATCTTTTATTGATAATCCATGAGAATGAAGAGATTGAGGAAGATATCACGTGTAGAAATAGAGCTGCGTGGACGAAGTAGAGATGTGATCATCAAATTTCAATGAAACTGAAGGGAAAGTTCAATAGGACTGTTGTACGACCAGCCACGCTTTACAAGACATAATGTTGGGTGATCAAGAAACATATCCATAGTAGAATGAGTTTAACTGAGATGAGGACATTGAGATGGATGAATGGCAAGAGAAGAAAAGGTAGAATTAAGAATGAATACATTCGAGGGAACTTAGGGGTGGCTGCAATAAGCGATAAGAGGGAAAGTAGACTTATATGGTTTGACCATATGCATTTCAACCTAGAACAACGCTGGTTAGGAGGGGCGATTTGTTCAAGTGGAAGGCTATAAAAGGGCAAGGAGAAGCCCAAAAAGACATGGATGGAAGTCGTGAGAATAGATATGGTGACATATGGTCTTACTGAGGGTATGACCCTTAATAGAGTGGAAAGGTGGAACAAGATTTGTGTAGCCAACCCAAAATAATTGAGATGAGGCTCGGATGATGATGAATTAGGGGTGGAGATAGATTTTCAAGCAATCATAGGGATTTTGGTGCCAGAACTCCATGTTCAGATAACTTTTGGATGTGCGTGTTACTTTGGTTACATTGATTTAAACAGCGGTCCGCCCAGCACCTAGGCGGGCGGCGTGGCCTGGGTGCATCGCCCAGGCTTGGGTGGACCAACTAGGTGGGCTGTCCCTAGGCGCCTAGGGGGGTACTTGTTTTTTTTTTGGATTATAAAAAATGAATGGATATGTTTTTTTAATACAAAATCTAGACCTAAAACAAGATTACTTGACACCTCTTAGTCCTTTTTGAACCTATGCCTCCTAGGTTCTTGGCGGCCTAGACCTCCCTGGCTGCCTAGGCGCCGCCCAATGTTTTTTAGAACATTGTTTTGTTATTTAAAATTAACACCTTTTACAAACCGCATCCTTGATATGAACATGTACAATAGTGTCACCCTTTTGAAATGCTATAAGCCAAAATTATCAAGACCAATCCCAAGTGCAACGTACGGTGGTCCTATCTAGTCCAAACCAGTTTGACGGGTCGGTCCAATAGATTGGACTGGTATGAAAGAAAAGCAAATTACAAAAAGGAATCTAAAAGATTATCAAAGCAGTCAAAATGGTATGACTCATTGGATCGACCAATTTTGGCCGGTTTTAGGTTTTTCGCTTTGTTCATCAAATCAGACCTAATTTGGGCCCACTTCCTAATTCAACTAGTTCTGTCTTTATGACATTGTGATGAACTAGTGTTCAAGAAGGCGGATTTGGCTGCCTAGGTGGGTGACTAGATACTTGGGCAGCCTGCACATAGGGGGGCAGGGGTGCTCTAGGCCCTTGACGATGATATTGGGGGGTTGTGTTTGTTACTAAACCCCCTTGTGATTGTGCAGAACATTTGTTTTTATTGAATAATATTGTTTCACAGTTTTGTGTGGGTTAGTTTTTCGTGCAGTACAAACTTAGACATACATGACTTTGAAACTTGAAATTGAATAAATAAAACTTTAAATTAGTGAAAATTAGTCGAAATTCCTCCATGGTGCAACATTATAGTCTCAATACCCATTACATGTCAACATGCCATTACAAGTCAAAAAAGTCACTAATGCCAAATTAAATATAAAAAGGAAATCACCCAAAAATTTAAAAAGAGGCGGCAGTCAAATAGAAAAAAATAAAATAAAATTACCTTTTTTTTAATTTTTGGACAATCTAAGGAAATAATAAAGTAGAAAAAAACCTAGCATTTCAATAAGAGCCAATAATCTAAAATTAAAAAGGCAAAATAAAATAAAAAGCAAATCTAAACCGAATATTTGTAATTATTTATAGATGTCACCAAATCCTAAACGAACAAATGAAATCATTTAACTTTCAAAACCAATCAAACTTGGCTCGAATCAGACCTTTGGTTGTCGAAAGACCTCTTTTGCAACCACTGCAATTCGCATTCTTGCAAACCCCTCTGCCGAGAGAGAGAGAGAGAGAGAGAGAGAGAGAGAGAGAGAGAGAGAGAGAGAGAGAGAGAGAGAGAGAGAGAGGTAGTGTGTGTGTGTGGTGGTGGTAGAGAGTATATATATATATATAGTAGAGAGAGTAGTAGTGTACGTGTACGGTCGGTGGGTACGGGGTGGGGTAGGGTAGGTA